TCAAATCGGTCAAGTAGTTTCGGAGCCTATTCAATTCAAACAAACAAACAAAATATCAAATCTTTCCCCTTTATACCATTAGTGTAGATTTATCCAGACAGGCAGTTGAATCAACTGTATCGTATTTTTCAATTACACGTCTATTAAACGTCTATTAAATTAAACGTTAAAAGTCCCTACACATATTATAATTTCGGAGTCGCGGAGAACCTAACGGGTAACCGGGGCTCCGGCTCGACGTGCAGGAGAAGGAACGGGGTGGTTTTTAGTCAGTAAGAGTCTGACACTCCGTTCCGCCTCACCCAGGCGGGAGCAGTCATTCGATGATTTTCCCCCCTTAAACAAAAAACACATATTATAATTAAAATATAGCAGTCTCTCGTTTCTCTCTCAGTCCTCATCAGGTATAAAACGGCATATAGCCATCTCCTGCGTGAACTCCTCAAAGTTGATGTTGTGGTTGATGTACGTGAGGTGTTACAAGTGCGTTACCGGCCTTTTGGGGCTTAGGAATTTGTGGATTGTTGGGGATCCGGGGATTGAGCATATTGGGGAGGAGGGTAATTTTAGGCCTCCGGTATCCTCACTTACATGACGAAACACAACGAAAGTGTTGTTTCACGTCGGTTTTCTGCTCGGCCGTGGTATCACTCCGGTCGAGCCGGCCTACTCGTGACGAAGTATGACTCTCCCACCACACTTTCCACTAATATCATTTGTCTACATTAATAGAATGTCTAATACTTAAAAGTCGGTAATAATCCTGAAATTATTTATGTAAAAATTATTTTACTAAAATGCATATTTTTGTCCATTTTGGTTTAGGTGATACAACCCTGTACGCGCTGACCTTCCGTCTGCCCTTGCTCCACATGGCGCTTCACGTGTATGTTACTGAACTCCCTCGGTAGCACTGATTGATTTCGATGATAGTATAGCAGATTTTACAAAATTCCTCAGTCTGTCAGCTCCACTAGTTATGATTGGTCCAGGGTTGGTCTACTAAGAGGATGCGGTGCCTCTTTTAGATGCGGATGGTGGCCATCAGGAGGTTTTAGTGGGGTCAAAATTCGACATTCCCTAGTCTTTTTCCCAAAAAAGCTAAGTCCCTTTTGAAGGTTTCTTCGCGTCAACAAAAAGAAGATCGAATAGTTACAGTCAATGTTTTGGTACTAAATGGCTTTAGTAATTTAAATATAGAAGATCCAACAGTCAAACTATTTATATATAGTTTTGTTGGACATGGCGTTAGATTATAAGGCATACCATGTACCTTTAAAATTAATAAATAAATAAATAAATAATGAAAGGTGTGATTTAATGAAGTCAAAATAATGTGGTTGGTTGTCAAAGAATATTATATGCAGGCTTTATAATTGTTAATACAAAAAATATATAAATAGTCACAATGTTAGGTTAGACAAACAATTTTATACAATGTTTGGGACCTTTCGATTATTTTGAACTTTTGTTTTAATTAATATGTATAGAGCTGCGGTCTGTCAGTTTATATAAGATAATTACTGAGATAAAGGTGAACAAGTTTCTATGCGACTGGCCTTTCTCTCACAATAAAATTGACAGAATAAGGCTGTAGACAGAGAAATTTTATTTTAACTGCATTCCAACTTCATTGTATTAATATTTATTACAACGTATGACTTCTGTGTCTAGCCTGGTGATAAGCCATAAGCAATCAATTCACTCGGGACTTGAAGATATCTAGGATTCACGAATCATAGACTTTGAGGACAAAGTCAAAGTTATGCAGTTAAGTGTTATTTGGCGTACAGTTCTAAAATGAGTGCACGGTGACTGATAGCTACTGTGGTGTTCGCCAGTAGCTAGTGTTAATGTTAACTTAGTCACTATGTTAATATGTAGACACGGCTACACATCGAGCTTTAGTAAACCAGTATAAACTGAACGTTAAATGTGCGGAAAGATATTGCGACGCGACACCAGGATAAACTGGTTTTGTATAGCTCGATGTGTGCCTGTACATCACGGTACATATGGGTATTAATGATTGGCTGGTGTGAACACGGCCGCTCTGCGTGCTGGTCGGTAACCGACTGACTACAGACGCTGATGTACTCGCGCTCTAGTTATTCTCTACGCAATACTACAGCTTCCTAAATGCAATATCATCACCACCAACAGCCTATAGTATCAACAAAGTGCATTTCCCTTCTCACCAACTCACAAACTGCAATATACCTAATTGTTAATTAATCAGCTTGCAGTCATTAAAACGTTAGGTACTCGAGAAATATAAACAGACTATAATCGGACGTCACGATTAGTTGACTTATAAGTGTGGGAGAGCCATGCTTCGGCACGAATGGACCGGCTCGATCGGAGTGATACCACGGCCTCACAGATAACCGACGTGAAGTAACGCTTATGAGTGAGGTTACCGGTGGCCCAACTAACCCCCATTCACCAATCTCCTCAATCCCTGAATCCCCGACGTTCTTCAAATTCCAAATCTCCAAAAGATCGGTAACGCACTTGTCACGCCTCTGGTGTTCCAGGTATCCGTCAACGACGCTGATTGCTCACCATCAAGTAATCCGTCTGCTCGTTTACCGGCTTATCCCATAAAGAAAGTTATAAGTTATTTTTTTATACTTGTCTGTATACTATGTTGAAATGCAGTCCATGTGTCCAGATCCTCATTATATTTTGATCTAAGCTAAGTTTATAGTTTATCAATCAGTAGCGTAATATTTACGAATAATTGTAAGTAGGTTAATTGAGGTTATGCGGTCAAATTACTTTTACAGATATTATAGCTTTGTTGTTCTGTAATAAATATAACATCGACCCAAAAAAGGAAAACTTGTTCTGGCTCTATATTTAGGTATACCGATACTTATTTTTATAGTAATAATAATAAAAAAACGAAAAAATTAAATTGAACTAAAATGCCTTTATAAAGGTACTTAAAGATCCTTTATAAAAAAAAAACAGAAAGATGAATGTAGTCAGAGCCTGGCTGTTAAAAAAAACTTGAGTGAGCCAGCTCGGCCGGGGAAGTACCACCTTCTTACAAAACTACTGCGTTTATTCTGATAAGTGCTGTTACAGTGTGATTGCACGGTTGCCGAGCTGGCTGGGCAACTGGCTGCCGCGCAACGTGTCGTGGGTTCGATTCCCGCACGGAACAATTCTTTGTGTGATCCACAGATTGTTGTTCCGGGTCTGTGTGTCATGTGTATGTGAACTTGTATGTTTGTACTCACGATACAGGAGAACATCCTAGTGTGGGGCAATAAAAAAAAAATTAAAGTGAGATTTAGCCGACCACGACGCGGTCATTTTTAATTCAGTCATCTTTTGTTTATGAAAAATGTTTTTTGTGTACCATGAGAGGTCTGTTATTGGAGGCCTAACCCTCTGCCTCCGAAAGGTCGGCAACGCATTTGTTAGGAGACGGAGGTATGGCGCGAGTCCAAAGGCTGCTGTATCAGGGTCCACGTATACTCTCTATCCCATTAAAACAATATTAGAGGTTATTAATGAGTCGAGTAAGAGTTGAAACTGACCTCGTGTCAAGTGAAATGAGTTTCTAAGGAGCTATAATGTTATTTTATCTATATACACATAATAAAACTGTAGAAGGGTAAATTCTGTACATTAAATATTATAAAAAATAACTAGTAGGTGTTCCTAGATTGACCCTGAACCCGAAAATGTGATTAGATTTTTTTTGTCTGTCTGTATGTTCACGCATCACGCAAAAGCTACCGGTCCGATTACGATGTAACTTCGTACGATTATACTTTATACCCCTGGGAACGCGGGCAAGGCAGCTAGCAGAAGGTAGTGTTCAACAAAAATAAAACGAATAGGTAAAAATATTTCAATAATTTAATATTTACACTTATTAATAATAGTTACTTATTTTCTAATTTTATTAACTAATAATTTAGTTAGTAGTTTTATCACTATTGATCACTATTCTTGTATGACACTTTTGCTTTCCATACAACCAATTATAAAGTTCCAAACATCCCACTTATTCCAAGTTAAATAATATATACACCATAAAGTCTATTTCGTTTTCGTCCGGCGCGGCGGCAAAATAACTTGCCAATTATCTAATTTTAAGTTTGAAACAATATTTCATGGTAATACGCACATGAAACACTATCAGACTTAATTTGTATGCACTTGCATCGCACATGCCACCCGACGTGAAATACCTCTTCGAGAATTACATGACATGATATTTTGATAATGTACTATGAGTTATTATAACATACCACAGTGTACCACGATAGTACGTGCCTTTGGTTAAGGCCTGGTAGTAGGTGCGTAGAAGTGCTGGTCTGTATCACAGTATACCCCAGAGCACCACGCCTATACGCATTATACGCTAGGCAAAGCTAGGATAGGATATTATAAGTGTTAGATTTTCTAGGATAGTGTAGGATAACGTTAGCTTGTAGGTATTAGGATTAGGTAGTCCTGTACAGTATGATTTTAGCTTTAAGCTAAAATCCCTACCCCGCTGTACATTTTGGTGAAATCGTATAGATTTTGCATCAGTTATTTTTTGTTTTAAACAATTTATTTCTTTGTAAAACTATTGTATTACCAAGACACGATTTACTTCGGGACGAATATAAAATAGATTTCACGGTGTATAGTCTACGTACCTGACGCTTAAAAATATATTTACAAATCACTTATCACTGACGTCACGTTACCATAACACCGAAGTACCTTATTTCTTATTCATAACTATTTACAGTCTTATAATAAAGACGTTTCTATTCTACAGTCTGTAGTAATGGTTGCTGGTTAAGCGTCTATTTATTTCCTTCTAAAAACCTACACCTGCACCATAAAAACCATGCTCATAGGTTAATAATATGTATCTACAATGTCCATTCAAGAGCGTAATTAATTACCTACGTCACAAGTTTTTCTACAGAATATTTGTCACATTGTTTCTAAAAACATCTAACAGATGGCGCTGTTTTAAAGTGTTATCTTATTATCTTCATAAGTGGTTCAGTGCTTAAAGTTTCCTTCACGTTTATTCTTTCACAAGTGAATCCCAAGCCTTTTCTTCTAGAGGATATCCAGTTCCAGTAGAGAATTCTCGCAGAATGTGCTAGAAGGAGGAGTCCAGATAGTACCAAGGTTAGCTGGACTCCCAGCAGTATGTATGGTGCGTAGACGTGCATCAATCGAAGAGTAGCGATTTGATCGTCTGCTAGTTTTGGTTGGACCTGGAATAAAAAGATTTAATTTCAATTGTAACACTTAAGATAACATGTGTTTTCTTTTAATCTAGATGTAGATAATACCTACATTTTTCTCGTAGCAAATCACTACAGAGCAATTTTGTAAATACTACGTATTTTATTATTTTTTCGATTTCAATTGTGCTCGTAGTTACTTAACTACCAATAATTAACTTCTATCAAGTGACGGCAGTTTATCTTTTAACGAATATCAGGAGTTTTTGACCTAAAACCTTCTAGCCTAGCGGGTAGCAGAAAACATACTAAGTACTTACAATTTTGATGTTGACGATGGGCAGGAACATGTCGGAGTACTTGCTGAGCTTGGAATTGAAGCTGACGTCACGCAGCAGCACGTTCACCTGCACCGAGAACTTCGTCGCCATCACCAGACCGATGATCTGGAAGATATGTGATAAAAGGTGTTAGAAAGTTATGTACTTTATCTCCAAAGAAAAGCGACGTGTTTCGTTGTGGGAGTGAGGTTACCGGAGGCCCAATTACCCCTTCTCCAATCTCCCCTATTCCTGAATTCCCAAAAACCCTCAAATTCATCATCCCGAAAAGGCTGGTGACGCACTTGTAACGTTCTGGTGTTCCGGGTGTCCATAGGCGGCGCCGATTGCTTATCATTAGGTGATCCGTCTGCTCATTTACCGGCTTATCCCATAAAAAAGTAGTTTTGCATTCATAACTTGTAGTTACTGATTATATAACTTCATTAGGGTTTGTTTTCTAACTAAGCAGTGCGGTAAAAACTACTAGCAAAAGGTACAATCTGCGCGTTCGTGCTACTTAATAAATTGAATCCATTCTGTGGTTATGTTCGAAATTGACTTAACCAATAGGAAATTTTTCTTCCCACTTGAACTACCCCATAATTATCACTTTAATAATCATGAATTCCTAGATTTAATGCTATGTGATTAAAATAAATTTTGAACTTACAGGATCTATCATAAATTCGCTCCCATGTTGCTCTCTGTCAGGTTTCATACCCTCGATGCGGTCGTACAATAGCGGGTTTGAATCCAAAAAATGAGCGTTGGATAGAACGACTGGCAGACCTGGAAAAATAATTAAATATAAGCAAAAGTCTCCTAATTTTTTTTAATTATATTAATTGTTCCACTAAGCTAAGCGGTGTTTATGAGTAAGGTACTTCTAACACTTCAGGGAAAAACAATGTTTAAGCCACCGACACTGTCTCTAACTAACTAGGTACCCATCAGAAACGAAAGGAACTTCAAAATCTATATTATTTTGGTAATAATAATAACATAACATAACATTACCCATTTTATCCCCGAAGGGGTAGGCAGAGGTGCACATTAGGCCACTGTACAATGTAACACCCACTTTTCACTATTTATGTTACGAGTCCCATGTAATAGGGGGTGAGCCTATTGCCATATACCGGGCACAATTCCAGACACCGTGCTACTACTGAGAATTTTTTAAAAACCCAGTATTACTTTGCCTGACTCGGGAATCGAACCCGAGAACCCCTGCCCGACTTGCACTTGCGACCACTCGGCCAACGAGGCAGTCGTACTTTGGTAATATTACTAAGAATATTGTACACACAATCATCAAAGCAGTAATTACAGAAATGTTAACAGCAATCTTACTCAACAACGCAACTCACAACTCACCATAAAAACAAGGGGACAGATCAGAGATCCCATCGTGACAGATCCCCTTGGCACAGAGGCACTCATTCTCAGGGATCTTGCTGTAGCTGTTGTTGGTGATCTGGAAGCACATGCCGGTGGCTCCATAGTCCGTGATCTTGTCCTCCACGTACTCCAGCTCCATAAACCGACAGAGGACGTTGCGATAGATCTTCAGAGGTCTTTCGGCAGATATGTCTGGTGGATAGATGATGCCTTCGTAGCTGTTGTTGAAACTGTTGCATGATGACCTTCGGAAGGAGGTGAGGGTTAGAAGATTAATTAAAAACATACATACATAACATCACGCCTTTTATCCCCGAAGGTGTAGGCAGAGGTGCACATTATGCCACTGTACAATGTAACACCCACTTTTCACTATTTATGTTATGAGTCCCATGTAATAAGGGGTAAGCCTATTGCCATATACCGGGCACAATCAATTTCAGACTCCGTGCTACTACTAAGATTTTTTTAAAAAAACCCTGTAATACCCATGCAGAACTATATACAAAATATTACTAGGTTTTTAATAAATTTTCAATAGCAGCACCGAGCCTGGAATCGTGCCCGGTATATGGCATTAGGCTCACCCCTATTACATACTCATAACATAAATAGTGAAAAGGAAGTGTAACATTGTACAGTGGCATTAAGTCCCGTAATGTGCACCTCGGGGATAAAAAACGTGATGTTATGTTAAATTAATTAAATGTACAATGTGTCCGAAAGCACTACTAGCTTAGCAGTTGAACTGAATTATTTATCGATTCATTAGATTCCATGTAATGTAAATAATTCCTATAAATGCCCACTGCTGAGCAAAGCCTCTTCTCACACGGAGAAGGTTTGAGCATTAATCACCACGCTTGCTCAATGCGGGTACAAAAGGTTTATATAATATGGATATTAAATTATTATGTTTTCGGCTTACTCACGTAATAAATCAAGTAAGCCGAAAACATAATAATTAATTTAGTATATCTCACGAAAGTTACAATACAAATATGGATATTGTTTACCTGGTATCCGGATACCCCCAGTTTGGCAGCCCACTGACGCCATTAACTGATTTGATCATGAACTTGTCGTCGTTATGAGCGCTCACTTCCACCCTGAGAGGCGCCTTCTCATCGTACAGCTGTAAATTGTGATATTGAAGTCGTTAGACATTAGTTGGAAAGTAGATGGACTGTGAGAGATGCTATTGTAACAGAGAAAGGAGTTTATGTGGTGAAACCAAACGTTTGCTATGAAACAAACAAATAAGACATCCAGAATCTACCATTTACACCACAACCTGAGCATAAATAGCTTTAAGGACTGAAAAAAATTAACTAATTGATACAAGCAGAACTCAAACCAGCTGCTCTAGCCAAACGCCATTTAGCGCTTGTCTACATGTAGAATAGAAAATCAAATTATATGGAATTGACGTAAATTTTGACACTTGTCAGTGTCATCCCCATACATTTTGATTTCTACTCTCTCTGTAGACAAGCGCTAAAGTGGCGTTTGGCTAAAGGCACTGATGTAGTTAGAGATTCTAGGTTCAAATTTCATTTGTTCTTCGAAAGTAACATTACATAATGTAACGCCTTTTAACCCTGAAGGGGTAGGCAGAGGTGCACGTTACGGCACTTAAATGCCATTATACAATGTAACACCCACTTTTCACTATTTATGTTATATGTTCCGTGCAATAGGGGGTGAGCCTAATGCCATCTACCGGACACGATTCCAGATTCTGTGCTACAACTAGATTTTTTTTAAAAACCCAGTGATAATTTGCCCGACCCAGGAATCGAACCCGAGCCCCATTGCCGCTCAGTCGCACTTCGAATACTCGAACAACGAGGCAGTTGAAAGTCTTTTTCGAAAGTGTTACAATTACATAAAGTAACTCACTCTATCCAAAACGCCTAAAGTATCAAAATTGATCCATCCAGGCAGGATGCTGTTCCCCAGACTGATGAGCGGCTCGTTATAACCCCACAGGTAGTCGTGGGCTGTTATATTGACAGTGGGTTCACTTCCCAGCCGACCTGCTAGCATGTTGAACGCCATTTTCGCGAAATACCCGTAAGTGGATACTCCTGATGCCATGCTCTGAAAAAAGAAAGTAGATGGTTAGTTCAGTATAATTATATAGAAATAACAGCACAACATTGACATCAGGAATAATTATGTACTGTTAACTGTTGAAAAATTAATTTATTTGTTTTTCGTGATTTCTGTATCTACTAAGGCGTATAAAATAAATCACTTACTTTAATCTCATAACAATATATTGACTTAATATGTATTCTATTATGAGTCCCATGTAATAGGGGGTGAGCCTATTGCCATATACCGGGCACATTTCCAGACTCCGTGCTACCAACGAGATTTTTAAAAACCCAGTAATACTTTGCCCGGTCCGGGAATCGAACCCGAGACCCCTTGCCCGGCAGTCGCAATTCCGACCACTCGGCCAACGAGACAGTCAGTTCTATTCTCTAATATGTATATATTCTACTCTTACGTTCATGCCATTTGTCTAGGCCCGTAGTTATTTTTCGTAGCAAACTAGACAAGTGCTACGTCGTAGCCAGCGTAGCAGTTACGTAACTACTACGCTACGTAGCAAAGATAGTACTATGGAGTCTATTTACTTTTCAAACATAAATAGTGTGGTTCAAAGTGACTTATGTATCACAGTACAAAATATTATGTCAATAGTATAGTCCGGTCATATTTGTAGAATTATTTAGTTGCGTGTAAATGTATCTGTTGAGATTCCACATTGATAGTATAATTGATAGGTTTGTCAGTTTCATTTGTTCACTTAGTTATCACTTGTTCTGAAATGTACTCTTATATGTTGCTTAGCAACTGTACATAATAGATGTTATAGAGTGGATCGGAAAATATTATATGTACACTATATTAGGTACCTATTTGAATATTATTCTTAATCTTTTTTTTTAAATAAATTCGATAGGTCGACGTTTGGCCACGTAAAGCTTTTTAATTAGTTTTACTAAGATACCAACACACACTTTTAATTTTCTTTACGAAAAGCAATCGAAGTGACGTTTAAATCTGTGACACACCAAAGATATCGCTTGCATATCACGACATTACAGGCGCATTAAAAACTACTTCGGAAACTTTATATTATAACTTACTAGCGACCCGCCCCGGCTTCGCACGGGTGCAATACGCATGTATTATACATATAAACCTTCCTTAAGAATCACCCTGTCTATAAAAAAAACGGCATCAAAATCCGTTGCGTAGTTTTAAACATTTAAGCATACATAGGGACAGACAGACAGCGGATTTTTTTTTTAAGGGAGGAAACTCATCCAATGACTGCTCCCGACTGGGTGAGGCGGGAGGACGCATAGCGACTTTGTTTTATACTATGTAAGGTAATGATAAGGAATAGTTCTTGTACTCACCAGCATAGCAATATTTGGCATGGTCAGCACCATATCCTCTGGTCTTCCGACTGACTCCTCAGGCAGGAAGGTAACCCTGTGTCGAGGGGTGTACCGCACCACTCCAGCGTCTAAGTCTATCTCCATGTCATCATTCGTGCGGTTCTCTCTGAAAAAAGACAATTGTTTGTGAATTATTTTTATAATTTATTGTACAACTAGTAGACGTCCGCGACTTTGTCTGTATGGAATAGTGACTTTGGATAGTTCTTCACAGTTCCTCTTCCCGAGGTGACACCGTGATAACATGTAGCCTATATGTTGACCTGGCTTGTTTGTAATATTAATGCAAAATTTGAAGTAAATCTATGCAGTAGTTTTTGAGTTTAGCCCGGACATATAAATGAAATGAAATAAGTTTATTCGGCATAAGACATGCTGGCCAGAAAAGACATACATACAGACAAACAGACAAAAATCCTAAAAACTATATTTTTGGTTTCGGTTTCGATTGTAGATTATGCTATTCTTTAAAAAATATTCAATGTACATTTTTGAACTTTCTACGATTTTATTATAAATATATAGATTTATTAATTGTAATTTTGTGTGAGGGAGAAATAACTAAATATATTTATGTCGAAGATTTAGATAAAATATAAAAGTCTCAAATAAAATACGGTCAAGTTTGGATCACCACGCGACCACTGCTACATATAAATGTAATGTAATAGTTACACAATCATCCATGATTTGTAGACTGGACTTGAACCCAATGCGGTCACTCGGAGAGCGTATCTTGCATTAATGAGATACAAACGCGGGCAGAACAACATACTCTAACTTTCTTAACCCGATTTGTAACTTTAAAGTTTTGTAATAAAGTAGAAGTTGTAATAAAACCTATTTTGTCGTATAAGTCAGTAGTGCTGGACAGTCCATCTTGTATTTACAAGTTGAATTTAAGTAAACTACAAAAATAAAAATGATTTATTTCATCAACTATTATGTATGTACCTTTTAAGCAAAAGTATGCTTGTGGTAGGCGATCCAACTATACCAATGACATTAACTAAACATAAGTTTATAAAAAATAAATAAAAATAAAATTAATATTAAACAATTATAAACATAAAACTATAAGGGAATAACATTAACATGAAATTAGAATAGATAAGTTAGCACACTGAGTGTATTATTGTATGAATGTATAATCTGTGTATTTGTGTTGTGATCGTATATCTGTGAATGTATGTTTAGTTTGAATTATTAGTCTTACTTTAACTTGACAAGATTTATAGATAAATTTGTAACTATAAGTTGCAACCATAACTTTGTGACCGTAGATTAACTTTTGAAATCGCAAACGCAATAATCGTGTGGTTTACACATCGTAAAAAATGCTGTTACTATGACGCCATATTACAACTTGGCATGGGAGAGTAACTATCCACGTTGCGTCATTTGACGAAGGCATGTATCCTTCACAAACAATAGGCGGCCTACAAATGACAAATGCTTGCACGATGCAAAGAAATTTAGAAACTACTAGCTGAGCCCGCGACTTTGTCTGCGTGGAATAGTGATTCACAGGTCCTCCCCCGAAGTTGATAGCATGATAATATGTAGCCTATATCTTGACCCGACCTGTTAGTAATATTCATGCAAAATTTGAAATAAATCCATGCAGCACTTCTTGAGATCTTGAGATCATCCCGGACATACATACAGGTAAACAAACAAAATTCTAAAAGCAATATTTTTGGTTTCGGTATCGACTGCAGATAACGCCTAAAGCATTCTTTTTAAAAAATATTCGATGTACAGTTTTCACTTTCCTACGATTTTATTATATGTATCGATGAAAACTGTGTACGAAAGCGGCTCGACTAAATCTGCCTAGCGTTTTTGACGAGTGTCTGCATTCGTCAAATGACGCAACCTGGGCAGTAGGCATAAATATGACAGGTATGCAATTAGAAAACTCGATGAACTAGGTCGGTGACTAATGCCACGATGCAATTTAGATCAATTAAATTATTTATTACAAACAATTACGTTTAGTAGTAAATGTAATTTAGTATCATTAATGATTAATATACGATTATGGCTTTCTGTGTCCTGATTTGCTATATAGCCAGGTCCAGAAGGTTACATAAGTGTGTTACGACTTGAACTACAAAGTCAATGGTCAATGTCAATGCATTTATTTCAAACTAGCTTCTGCCCGCGACTTCGTACGCGCAATCCCATTTCCCCCCCGTTCCTGTTCGTGATTTTTGGTAAAAGTAAAAAAAAAAATTAAATAAAAAGTATCCTATGTCCGTCTCCTGGTTCTAAGGTTCTAAGCTACCTCCCCGCCAATTTTCATCCAAATCGATTTAGTCGTTCTTGAGTTATAAATAGTGTAACTTACACGACTTTCTTTTATATATATAGACTAGCTGACCCGGCAAACTACGTAGCACCTAAAAAGAGTTTTTCTACACATTTAAACCTTCCCTGGACTTTCACGAAAATTTCAAGATCAAAATTAGCCAAATCGGTTCTCGAGTTTTAGCGAGATTAACGAGCGGTAATTAATTTTTATTTATATAGATTTAAACAAAATGGCCTGCATTTTCGAAACGTTACCGGAGGCCCAATTACCCCCTTCCCCAATCTCCCCAATTCCTGAATCCCCAACGATCCTCAAACTCCTAATCCCCAAAAGGCCGGTAACGCACTTGTAGGTAAAGCCTCTGGTGTTCCAAGTGTCCATGAGCGACGCCGATTGCTTACCATCAGGTCATCCGTCTGCTCGTTTACCGGCTTATGCCATAAAAAAGTCAAAATAGAATATAGTCCATCAGTAAAGCTAGGGTAACAAAATGAATTAATTATTTTCCTTTCTTTTTTAGTTCTAACTAAAGTGTTACACATTAATTAGTAACGATAAAAATTCAAAAGGTCTTATTGTCATACACAGAGAGTCATTTAATGGTTACCTAAACCAGTCCATTTAGGAATCATTTTCGGAACAAAATTGTTACTAAAGAATAGTTTTAGTTATCATTTATATGTGTCTGAGTGCGGCTGTTAATAAATTATGCGTTCGATGTGTAATGTATATTATAATTAATACAATGTAGATAAATACTAATAACAACTTATATAATAATTATATTATTATGTTTTAGATAATTATACTTAGTGTGGAATTTTTTACTATCACATTAATAATGTTCATGTAACTGTTAATTATGCAATAAATATTTTATTATTATTAGTATAGGAAATTCGTCGGTAGAGGGCGCCCTAGAACACTATACTGGCCAAATTAAAAATACCCACCCTTAACCGACGAGCATGCATATAACGTTTGATGACTGTTGATGAAGCGAAAGAGGTATGTAGGAATCGTAGTTATTGGCGTTCCATAGTCTCTGCCTACCCCTCATGGGACATGCGTGTGAAGTTATTTATGTATGTATAGGAAATTTGTTATAATTGTTGTAATTAAAATCATTAATCGTTTCTCTAATTGGAATTAGTTCCCATTATTAACCAACTTCAAAAAAAGAATGTTAACAGTTTTAACTTATATGTTGTTTGCGTAAGGTTCAAAGTTAAAACCGATATTAATGACATGTAAAAGATTAACTTCTGGCCCATCTACAGTTGCGTGTCAAGCGTACATATATATATTACATACATTGTAAACAAAACTATGCATTGTATTGTTTACAGATCGTCATAAGATTACAGTAGATTAACGATGACAGAATAAGAGTAATTGCTAATTACCGATTACATTTCTTGCATTACAAGGTGAGGAAAACATATTATAATTATAGTTGAAAGTTATATATAAAAAGATTAGAACCTTGACCTGTCGTGTATCATTCACTACTTACTATTGTTCAGACGACAAGGAGATGTAATTAGCTATAATTAGGTATACATTGTGACGGTTTCCTGAAGAAATTATTGTTTCAATGTCTCTCTAATACCTACGTTCTTAGTAGAGTGAAATTAATCAAACTCTTTATTGTGTTGCAACTTCTTGCAGTTTATATTGGTTTAGATTATTGTAAAGTTTATGATCTTTTATTGAGGTAAGATGTGCAAATCTGAGTGTAACTAGCTTTTATTTCTTTTGTTTTTAATTTTATAAACGTCAAAACCGAACTATTTCTAATTGGGATGATGACGGGGTATGAAAATTAATAATCTATTTAGTCCGTAAGTTAGGTAATGAAAAAATATTAGACACGTATTTTTTATTTTGTCGTATAATAAAATAATACTTAGATAAAACGAATCAAAGTTAAGGAGTGGGGGCTGAAACGTCATTTCTACGTATAAAATGTACATAGAAGTGACGTCACGCGACATTTCAAATCAATATATTGTCGAAAGTATTCGTTTCTGTAAGAAAATATGTGATGATGAAGAAAATACGTGTCTAATGATTTAGAACAATCTACCAGACGGACATTAAAATAAAAATTAGGCATCTACCCTATTGTAAATGTAGATTCGTATGAAAATTTTCTTAAATCAGGTATTAAATTTTTTGCTTAAGTCTGTACTATTTACTGTCCATGAACAAACATAATACGTATTTTAATATTTTAAAGCTTTATTGATTCATATCATTTATGAGATTCATCTTCATCAAGTAAATAAAATGCTACCAATTTTATAGCCTATTAACAACTACATATAAAAATGACTTACTGATAAGTAAAAGGACCAACTTCTTCCATCTTGAGCTTGTCATCCTCTCCACTGGCGAACCGGTCAGCGTTGGTGATGTTGAAGAGGTAGGCAGAAAGGTGGATGCTGTCGGTTTCCTTCTTCAGCGCCACGTCTAGGAGGGTGCCAGGGCCCACGCGGGCGTACTGAGGAGAAGAGAGACTGGTTAGTTAGTTCATCATCACGAAGACGTCATCATCACCGAATGAAATCAACAGTACTTTTCTTGACCCGTGAATTGACTCGTGACCTTTAGCTAGTCAGTCCACTGACGATGCAGTTAACTTGCATTCACTATCACTATTACGTCAATATCGTAAATAAGCGTAAATAACAGATCATGTAGTATGTCTGTTTGTATATCCTTCTCTTCTATATGTCTAGGGGACTAAGTATTACTTAGAATTAAATGTAAGTATTTTTCTCTTGCAAAAGGACCTCAGCTGTGTTTTATTTTTTAAATTTTTATGACGTCAATGAGTCAAGGGGTCTGTGATATAAAAATGAAAATGTGATCCCTTATGTATGTCGGATCAGTATGTTGCATTTCCAATAAGTTAAGTAATCGAATTAACTTAATAGAATCATGTTACTTATTATTATTATTTCCAAAATAATTAGTCTTAAACAACTTAGTATCTATATATCGTGAAATTAATTTCGTTGGGAAACAACTTGACATAAGGAGTACCTACCTATTTTCGATGTATAAAGTAAAAACAAATAAATAAAGAAGTAACTTTATTTAGTTACTATAAGATATGCATTGACTTTCGCATATGTAATACAGACTAGATGTAAATTTTTAGGCAGTTGATGCTTCACCACTTATTGTTTGTTTTAAACCTTTAATTTCTTTGCAAAATTATTGTACAACCGTGATACCTTACCTTCAGGATGAAAACGAAATAAATTTAACGGTGTATACATTGTTAAATGAATGAATAAATAGTAATGATGTAATATAATGCACACACTGATTATTTTCTACTTTTTTAAACTTTTCATTCTAGTAGTGCTACGCAACCTTCGTTGTACGATTCCTGCTCACACTTGGCCGGATTTGAAGTCCCTAGCTATGACGTCAGTACAAATGCCTTAGGGTAAGTACTGTCAATAACGATCAAGTACTAAAAGAATTTAAAAAAAGTATAAATTGAGATTAACTGAAGCATGTCAATTTGTTTCATTTTAATTTAATACTCATCTTTATACATGCTTCTTTGTACATTGTGTAGTGGACTTTTACGACATCCAGGAGTACAGTTAGGTTTTATGACATACGTTGAGTTATTACAAAAAGTACTCACATACTTAAAAATTACGAGTTACTCACGTAAATACACTGAGAAATGTTATACTAGTTTCGAATCCCAGAGTACGTCACCGCGACGTCACGACGTCGCCGCGACCGCGCATCTGCTAATGAAGACAATATGTCCCGAAACTAGTAGAGCTTTCCTCGCTATATACCCGTGAATAACTCATATTTTCTCGTTAATTCAGTATGGCCCCCGATAGTTATTATAAAAACAGTACTCACATAGACAGAAATGATACGTATAGGATCCACTAGTACCGTGCAGAGTGCCACAGAGAGGCAGGTCACACCTAGTACCAAGTACACAAACAGCTGAACTGAAATAACAAAAACACATTTGTTAAACAATATATTAACAATTCAAGTGTGGGAGAGTCTTCGGCACGAATGGGCCGGCTCGACCGGAGTGATAGCACAGCCTCACAGAAAACCGACGTGAAGCAACGATTGCGTTGTGTTTCGTCGTGAGAGTGAGGTTACCGGAGGCCCAATTACTATCCCCTTCCCCAATCTCCCCAATCCCTGAATCCCCAACGACCCTCAAACTCCTAATCCCCAAAAGGCCGGTAACGCACTTGTAACGCCTCTGGTGTTCCAGGTGTCCATGGGCGACGCCGATTGCTTAACATCAGGTGATCCGTCTGCTCGTTTTCCGGCTTATGCCGGTAAAAAAAATGTATTGCTTGCTTACCAACAATAAAAAAGGGTTTGGTAAACAAATCTGATATTATTATGGCGGATTAGAAAGATATTATTAGCAAAACTGGAATTGTTTCTAATTAATTCAGCACAGTTTTGTCTGTGGGCCAACAAGAATATTATATCGTTCCTAGTGTTCTACCTGACCTGAGAATTGTATTAGAAACTCCTTGGTAGTCACAATGGTGCACAACTATTAAAGATTAATTAGTTATACACTTACGTTTTATATTCTTATTCTGTTCTGAACTTCCCTTGGTAATGTATCCCATCTTTAGTGATTTCGTCATTTTGGACTTTAGCAGTACACTTTACTGCTACCTTCTTACTGAACTAGTAGCAATTACTACGATGTACAGCATTGAATCTGAAACAAATAATGTGGTGATGTATTTTTTCTGAATAAAGTTTCCTTGTGTATTTTTATCTTTATTTTAATTAGTAGAGTAGTGCTTTTTCTCAAGAGACAAATGTCAGCCTCATTATAGGGTCTAACATTTCTGTTATATAAAGTATTTTTAGGTTGCTTATGGGACGACGTGCTCTACCGCAGACTGCATCATCGCTTACCACCAGGCGAGATAGTGGTCAAACATCGGCCCAACAAATATATAAAAAAAAGTTTATTGTCACTGAAATTAGCTAAGACGTCTACTGCTGGACAAAGACTATATTATATTATAATCCTACTAATATTATAAATGCGAAACTTTGTATGTTTGTTCGTTTGTTTCTCCTTGACGCAGAAACGGTTGAAGTGATCGGGATGAAACTTCGGAAAGGGGTCTGCTGAGTATAGACACTGGCAGAAACTAGTTTGTTTATGAATCTAAATTATTTATTAGAATAAATATTAATATAAAAAAATATTCGGTCACGTAAACGCAATTGCGAAGTTTTCAGTGTTTCGTGATTACATGAAGATTTGAAATGCATATATAATATGTAAATTGTATTTAAGTTGAAAGGTTAAGTTGTTCACATACAATTTAACACCAGAATTTTGACGGTCGTTGAACGTTGGTTAGTAAATAACGATAAATAAGACTCACAAGTAACTTGCTTTATCTACATCGAGGTTATGTAATAGTAAAACAAAGCCAGCCTTTATATAATTAATATAGCGATCAGAATAAACGGGTGAAGGTGCTTAATGTGCGTGTATTTTTTTATTTTAAGGACTTTCGAAACATTCGAGAATATTAATATTGTGTTTTTTGATTACGGACAAGGATTTTGTGAAGTTTAAAATTGCAATGTTTATTTTACAGTGGCATCTTGTAGACGGCCTCTAAAGGCCTGTCTCCATTTAATTGAACATTTTGCTGGTTCCGATTATGTAAATATAATAAAGGAGACCTTCAATCAGGGCGCACAGTCGATCTTTCAAGTTCAAGTATGAAAATTTTGGCCTACCGTTTTTGTATTTCGCATGCGTATTATGTTTTTAAGTAGATAATTTAGTCAACTACAACCTTGAACCTATTTTCGATTTAAGTATCTATAAAATAAGAATGGATCAAAAAGATGTTGACTTTGACTTTGAAAAAAGTTGGCCCGATAATGTTACCTTGGGGTATTCCTAAAATGCATGAGCTGCGTCACGTAGTAGTATTTTAAACTGGTGTACCTGTTTTATGTACGGCGATTGATTCCGCAATAACTGATCGATCGTGCCCTCGAGCACGCGGTCATCTAGTTTTAGTCAAAGATTTGGGTATAATACAATGTCAAAAGCTTTTGTAAAGCCTATAAACATACGCCTACAGCATTTTTGGCTTTTCCTTATAGGCAATTTAATAGGACGGTGTTTTTTTTTCGATTCGCAGAATATTGCTTAGTTACTTTATACCAGTTTGGACCGCTCGGGTAATTTGTTTTCCAGCACAAAGTTAATATAATCTGTGATTACTTTAAGTTAAAAAAAATGTTTTTTAAAAGATATTTGCAAACATTTGTTGCGTAGAACAAAAGTAGCCTCATAGTTCAAAAGTGGGCCACCAGGGACTACCTATTTATTATTATGATTACTTTTATCATACTTTGGAATGATGTAAATGATATTGTAATTAAAATGATTGGCTAAAAACAATATAAGCATTCCAAAATCAGCTGATGTGATTATATAAGCTTTACAATGAACCTTTCGAAAAGCACGTGTGTTTTTAATTTGAATTCATCATAGATTCAAACCTTGACACCGATTGAATTTCAAATAGACGTTTATGGCACTACCGATATGGCAATCAATGTTATGTTATAATATTCTTGCAAAGTTTATGAGGTCAAAAGTACTAACAGATGTCTCATCCTTACCACATGTGAAGTCTCAAAAACACACTCAATTTACCCCTACTCCATTTCTTCTTGTTCGCTCTTCTACATAGAAATATACACTTTGGAACGAGCAGATAACCACACTAGGAGATTAACCGAGAAAGACACTTTTATCTTTAAATATTTTATCCGCGTTCAAAAGTACCTTAACTATATTGGTCTTATTGTACTTTTGTTGTTAACCAGTGTAGTTCAAGCGACTGATTCGATTGATGGCCAATTATAACTATTTATGAGACAAATACAATGTGTTTGATGACATAGTTCTTACTTACACACGTAATATTTACTTCAGACGCCTTATTATCACAAGTTCATCAGTTACCATAATATGAGATATATTGCAGTCTATGTAATAATTTATCTATAACACTTTGTAATAGATGTCACGAAGCCAATAACCTTCAACAAAAGAGTTTACTCTCTTATAAATATTGACAAAGTATTGTAAATCTGCCTCGACTGCCTCGTTGGCCGAGTTGTATTAAATGCGACGCGGTAAGAGGTCTTTTCGATTCCCGGGTCAGGCAATGTATTGCTGGGTTTGTAGAAAAACTTCTCAGTAGCAGCATAGTGTTTGGAATTGTGCCCGGTATATGGTAATAGGCTCATCCCCTATTACATGGGACTCGTAACATAAATAGTGTAAAGTGGGTATTACATTATGACATTAAGTAATGTGGACCTCTGCATACTCCTTCGACGATACAAGGCGAGATGTATGTTATGGTCTTTTTATACAAACTCATTATGACTAATTAATATTAAACTGTCAAACACCAAGCGGTCACCGGTGACCGCGACCTATTGTTCTTTAATTGTGTCTATAAAACCGGTACTCGACGAGTTAAACAGTTTTTATTTATTTATTTATTGAAGCTTCATGCACATTAGGTGGACTTAATGCCGCAGGTATTTACTCCCAGTCTGACCTTTGGGTGATGCAGAAAAGAGCAAATGGTAGGAGCAAGAAGCAATCATCATCATCATCAACAGCCTATAATGCCCACTGCTGAGCAAAGCCTCTTCTCACCCGAAAAGGTTTGAGCATTAATCGCTACACTTACTCAATGCGAGTTGGCGATTACAAACTTATAATTCAAAATTATAAGCCCAGGTTTCCTCACGATGTTTTCCTTTACCGTTTGTCAGTGGTGTCTAGATAATCTTAGAAAGTACATATAATTAACTCGGAAAAAGTCACATTGGTACTTGACTTTGGTAGGTTTCGAGCCCGCACCCTCATGCGTGAGAAGTGGGCGTCTTAAACCTCCGGGCCACCACGACACTATGCAAGAAGCCAGCAACGATTTAATAGAACAAGCAGAAGATAGACTTGCATATTATAGAGATAAATAAAAGTAAATATATATATGTTTTTCAATATCAAGAACATTATAATATTAGGAAAAGAGGTTTCATCTTGGGAAAAGTTTTAACGTCTCTGTGTTTCATAGAAAATAATTTATTCAAATGCAATGCGATACGATCACCACAGTAATTTTTATTAATGAAATAATTAATCCCAGATCGGCCGACCACACTAAGACATTCAAAAAGTTACCAATCAATGTGCGGCTTTGTTTCAGTTTGTGTTGCATTAGCTTTATTTGCATAATTATTGGCTTGCGTTGCGCCGTCGCCGGCTTTGGTTTGGTTTTATATTGCTTTCTTACACTTTCAATGTAGGTATGTACGTTTGTGTGTGAAGTCGTATTTTGAAACTGATATCTTCAACAGATAGAGCTGAAATATTGAATACATGTTTAGTTTGCATGACCATAAATGGGTAGTAGCATTAAGAGGGTTTAAAAAAGTTCTTAATTCAAACTTTTTTGTTTCTTATAGACCCCGCAAAACCAAAGGAATTAGGTACTACCAACAGCTAGCCTTTTAGGGAACTGGGCCTCGTCACACCGACTCGCGCCACGTGCACCTTAAGCCTATTCCATATTTTTTTTTAAAGTCCAACATTCAAATCCATAGAAACCCCATGCTAATTAAAAACATAAACATTTATGTACCGGTACATATCGGTGCGAAATCGATTCTAAATAACGATTTAATAAGTTATAGTTAAAAAACTAGTTTCGGTATACTTTGAACTGGTCAAATTTCAAATAATTATTGGAATATCGAGTAGTTAAATATTGACTTATTTATTTGAGTTCGGTTTAGAACTTTTTATTATATGTGTAACTTATAAACTTGATTAAATGAAAAGAAAGTAAAGTCATACTTATAGATAATTAAAGTTCTAAAGTTTTTTGCATCGTACGTAAATATATCTAATAGACGTGAGATCCACGATTCGATCTCAGTGTACGTATTGGGTTTTACTAAACACTATTCACAGCAACTTTTTTATATCAATAAAGCGCATACCTTCAACGTACAACATTGACAAACCAATAACACAAACAACAACATCGCTTGCACACAAATATTACGACATTTAGACTCTGTGGCCGCGTGGAGCAACTGTCAAAATCAAACACGAACGAAGTCACGTGTGGTGAGTGGGACACGTGACCACCAGCCCAGTTCGCCACACCAACTCTATGATTTACTGATCATCTCCAAACCAGATAAAATATAGAAAAAAAACCATTATAACAATAAAGAATTGGATATACCTACCTAGTTTTTATACGTGTTATTAATTTTTTATAGCCTTAATTTATGACATGATTCGTCTACTGAGTAAATCTTGACCGATTTGCTGTCATAATTAGTTTATTATACATATATTGAGGTGTTTTGTGAGGTTAATACCATTAATAGTCCACGTTGCGTCGGTATATACAATAGGTAGCTTACAAATCAATGACAAATGCTTGCATCTTGTTTAGACAAGAACGTTAACCCCGCCTATCGTTTAGGACGAATCGTGGACAACTGTCCACCAAAGCTTTAGAGTAGTTACTCTAAAGCTTTGGTACGCATCTTCGCA